CCTGAGAGTGGCAACGCTTGGGGACGGGTGGTCGGGGGACCAAAGGAACATCAGGATCGCCAGTGGACTGATTGCCAGGTGACGCAACATTGACCAGAATAATTACAAAATGAAAAACATAATTTAACAACGTGATAGAAATTTGCCAATTATCCAATCGTAAAAAAAATAAGCAGTTACAGGTGAAACTGACAGAATTTCATTAATTTCAAATAACAGTTTACAAGAGAGGGAAGGGGGCCACTATGTATTTTCGCAACGAATTGCTGTGTTCACACTGCCACTATGAGTGATTGCATCAGTATCGGCAGAGAAAGGCTCATTTGCGCCTATGATTTATTTTACAAGCAACTATGTTTGCTAACGCTCAAAATTCGGTAATTTTGCTTGCTTCGTTCCGGCGTTCCAATATTTGGAACTTGCACCGTTTGGTTAAATCACGCAAAACTTTGAAAATCGCCTTCAGGTTACACAGGTAACCTTCCCTCTATTCTTTAAACATTCGATACACAAATACCAACCATGATCAATCCTGCCCACCTGTTGTCTCTTATTCTTGCCACACGATCAACCTAGCACTTCTTTCTGACGTACATTGTCATGATAATATTGCTTACATTAAGTCGTGACCATTGTACTTGTTGAACCTGGCGAAATATTCACCAGCTTGCTTGATTCCAAATATAGATTTATGTGTCTGCATACGTCGATAGACGGATTGTGGTCATTTCAGATCTGCGCCAGGATGCATAAAAACCTACTTTCGACAATATAATTTGCCATCAATGTAAATGTATACCAAGAGTGCAAGACCGCTAGTGCAATCAGTGTGGGTATCCCATGTTAGTGATTTTACTGAAATGTTCCCACATACCCGTTGTAGCTATGCCATTCTTATGCAGTGTTTACGTATTGTTTGCAAATGATGTAATTTTCACGTACTCGTGAAATGGAATCAAAAAATCAAAATAAAATATGTGCAGGAGCTTATTTGCAGGTGGGATCCCACGTAATATGGTACTAGATGAGGCATGGAATAGGACAACTCAGTTATCCGGTCATGCTGGAGTTTTACCAGTTCACGTGATCGCTTTCGTTCTTGCAATTGCAAATTTTCTCCTGAACAGCTTCATATGCCTCGCATTCCATCGTAATCGTCGACTGTTTAACAAATGTCATTTGTATATATTTTTTGCATTTGCATTTACCAACTGTTTATCGGGTTAGTTTTTTACAAAAATTTGCAAAATTTTCATACTTTGAATTTTATTCAAATTTTACAAAACTAAATTAGTTTTGAATACTCGACTTTTTCATACGCAATTTTTTAAAAATGATTTAAATTTGAAAAGTTAAATTAAACGACTTTCGTGAAAATTTTGTAAATTTTGCATGCTGTACTTTTTCTGTATATTAACAGTCTATTACAGTTAGATTTTAGTCGCACGCATCTGTGAATAATTCAAAATCAGATATCTGAAAGCTAGAGAGCTGGAATTTTGAGGAAATAGCTGACCATCATTTACAGGGCTATCTATCCAATGCTAGTTTCTAACTTAATCCTTAATTTATAGGTAGTAGGACCTAATCAGGTTTCTCTTTCAACTGTAGCCGATGTAGGAAGAGTGGGTGGTAC